AGGCTTCCCACATTGATCACTAATTAAGAAAATGTCTTGCAAGCTTGCCTACAATCCAATCTTGTGAAGGAATTTCTCAACTGAGACTCCCTCCTGCCTGAGGACTCTTAACTCTCTCAAGCTGACATAAACTGGCCTGCACAACGACTATCATGAAATACTTGATATAATTAACTGAAAAAGAGGGAATGTTTGTTTTGGCTCGTAGTTTGGAACTTCTAAACCATGACTAATTGGCCATTATATTAGAACTATGGAAAGATAGTTATTGTGGCAAGAGCACATAGCAGAGAAAAACCACTTCCACAATTAAAGGGGAAAAGTAAAACAACAAACTTTAACAGTAATTAAATATGATTAATTAGCTTACTTAAGAGGTATTGAGCTACATGGGGATAAGAATCCACAAGAAATTGCCTCTGAGCTGAGACTGTAGAGTAAAACTGATCCATGGGCTCCTGCTTTTGCAAACCTCCTTGTCCTTCTTCTTCTGAGTGATACATACCTGTTTTCCCTTGAGACATGACCACACTGATACCCACTTAGACAACAAGTTCTGATTGTCTAAGTTTAAAGATAAACTGTCTTAATAGAAATCTGTAAATTTTTGATAGTATACATAAGTAATCCCAAAAACTCTACCAGGGAATTCCTACAGCTGATAAATACCTTCAGTAATATGGCAGGATACAAGATCAATTCAAAAAATCAGTAGCCCTCTTATATACAAATAATAAAGAAACTGAGAAAGAAATCAGAGAAACATCACCCTTCACAATAGCCACAAATAACATAAAATATCTTGGCGTAACACTAAGCAAAGAAGTGAAAGACCTGCTTGACAATAACTTTGAGTCTTTGAAGAAAGAAACTGAAGAAGATGCCAGAAAATGGAAAGATCTCCCATGTTCTTGGATAGGTAGGATCAACACAGTAAAAATGGCAAACCTATCAAAAGCAATCTATAGATTCAATGTGATCCCCATCAAAATCCCAACACAATTATTCACAGACCTTGAAAGAACAATAATCAACTTCATATGAAAAAACAAAATATCCAGGACAATCAAAACAATCCCATGCAATAAAGAAACTTGTGAAGACATCACAATCCCTGACATCAAGCTCCATTATAGAGCTACAGTAATGAAAACAGCTTGGTATTAGCACAAAAACACAGATTGACCAATAGAATTGAATCAAAGAAACATATGAATCCACATACCTATGAGTACCTGATTTTTTACAAAGAAGTTAAAATTATACAATGAAAAAAAGAAAGCATCTTCAACAAATGGTGCTGGCATAACTAGATGTCAACCTGTAAAAGAATAAAAGTAGAGCCATATCTATCACCATGCACAAAACTCAAGTCCAAGTGGATTAAAGACATCAAACTAAATCTGACCACACTGAACCTGACAGAAGAGAAAGTGGAAAGTAGCCTTCAATGCATGGGCACAGGAGACTGCTTCCTAAATATAACACCCGTAACACAGACACTGAGAGTAAGAATAAATAAATGAGATATCCTGAAATTGAAAGCTTCTGTAAAGCAAAGGATGCAGTCAATAAGACAAAAGGGCAGCCTGCTGAATATGAAAAGATCATTACTAACCCCACATCACAAAGAGAACTGCTCCAAAATATATTTAAAAACTCAAGAAATTAAACATCAAAATTCCAATTAAAAAGAGGGGTACAGGGGTACAGAACTAAACAGAGAATTCTCAATAAAAGAATCTCAAATGGCTGAAAGACACTTAAGGAAATGTTCAACATCTTTAGTCATCAGGGGAATGCAAATCAAAACAACTCTGAGGTACCATCTTACACCTGTCAGAATGGCAAAGATCAAAAACACCAGTGATAGCTTATACTGGAGAGGATGTGGACTAAGGGGAACACTCCTTCATTGCTGGTGGGAATGCAAAGTGTACAACCACTTTGGAAATCAGTATAATGTTTTCTCAGAAAACTGAGACTCAAGTTATCTCAGGACCCAGCAAATTCACCCTTGGGCAAAGGATGCTTAATCATACTACAAGGACATTTGTTCAACTATGTTCATAGAAGGATTATTTGTAATAGCCAGAACCTGAAAACAATCTAGATGTCACTCAACCAAAGAATGGATAAAGAAAATGTGGTACATTTACAGAATGGAGTACTACTCAGTGGTTAAAAAAAATAACATCTTGAAATTTGCATGGAAATGAAAGGAACTAGAAAAAATTATCCTGAGTGTGGAAACTCAGACCCAGAAAGATGAGTATATATTCACTCATAAGTGGATACTAGTTGTAAAGCAAAAAATAATGAACCTAGAGAAACTAATTAACAAGGTTAACTCTAAGAAAAACATATATAGATTTACCTGGAAAGGGGAAATAGCCAAGATTGCCTGACAAATTGGGGACATGGGACTAAGGGGAGAAGGAAGGATGGAAGGGGAAGAAGGGTGAGGAGGAGGAGGAGAACTCAAGGGAATGGGGTAGAGATGGAGGAAGGACAGAGATGAGAAGAAGGAACAAGATACTTTGATTGAGGGAGCCATTATGGAGCTAGCAAGAAACCTGACACTAGAGAAATTCCCAGGAATCCATAAAAATGACCCCAGCTAAGACCCTAAGCAATAGAAGAGAGGGTGCCCGAACTGGTCTTGCTCTGTAGTCACTGTAGATACTTCATTTAGCAACTGATGGAAACAGAGGCAGAGAACCACAGCGGAGCACTGGGCTGAGCTCCCAAAGTCCAGTTGAAGAGTGGATGGAGTGAGAATATGAGCAAAAGGTAAAGACTATAATGGGAACACCCAATGAAACAGTTATCTGAGCTATTGGGAACTTACCAACTCCAGCCAGACAAGAAAGGAAACAGCATTGGTCCAAACTAGTCCCTCTGAATGTGGATGACAGTTGTTTGGTTGGGGCAGACTGCTGGGCCACAGGCAACGGCACCAGGATTTATCCCTACTGTTTGCACTGGCTTTTTGGGAACCAATTCTCTTTGGATGGACACTCTGCTCCGCCTAGATATAGTAGGGAGGGTCTTGTGCCTTCTCCAAAGCAAAACTCTCTGAGGAGTGGATGGGGATGGGAGTGGCCTGGGACAGGGGAGATGGAGGGTATGGGAGGAGTGGAGGGAGTGGGAACTGGGTTTGATGTGTAAAATGAAGAAAGATTGTTTTCTCTTTTTAAAAAATAAAATTAAAAAGACGAGGGAAAGCAACCCTGTAAATTTCAACATCTTTAAAACCTGCATAGCTTTGGGGAAAAAAAATCTCTTTTGGGGCAGTTAAAAAGAGCACCCTAAGATTATGGCAATGCCTAACCTTAGATAAGCCTTGAAATGTTTCTGATCAGGGCTGGGTCTATTTTTTGAGCTGCCTGCAGGATGTGCAGGGTGCTCCAGGTTCCCAACTATGTGAGCTGTCACCCATGCAGGGTTGGGCTTTGGTGCAGCTGTCTTTGAGTCATTTTGGGTCTTGTAAGTAACCCCTCACCTATATCTTACAAGTAATCCCAATAAAACTCATTGGTTTATTAAATTGGACTTTGGTCTGTCTTGGGTTCTGTTATTCCTTTGCGGTCACTTTAAGGACTAACCACATCCACCCCAGCCACTTCTGACCTCCCTCACCGCCATCTTTCTCTCTCTCTTGTGTTTGTCTCGTGTCGTGTGTACATGTGTCTTTGTTTCTCTCTATGTTTCTCTTACATTTCTCTGTTTTTCTCTTCTTTAAGCAATAAATGTCTCCCTCTTCTTTAAATAATACTATGTCCTGTGAGCCTTTTATCCGCTATAACCACCCGCCTGACTCCCCCGGCTGCATAGCGCTGCCACCCACAGCAGGGACCCACAGCCATCCTTGTCGGACTAGAAGCTGCTCTGCGAGCCGCCCGGGGCATCCCATCATCATATTATTTTTAAAGAACAATAGGTTCCCTATCTGGGGAATAGGCATTTGCACACAGCTCCACAAAAATAGACCATGCCAATTGCCTTAACCAACCTCTGGGCTATTTAGATCTCCATACTCTCGTTAACCCACAGATCTACCACACTATTACCAGAGGGCACACACAGGCACACACATCGGAGAAGAAATCTTATTCATCCACCTTAGTCCCTTTGTATTCTCTGGAAGAAGCACTGCTGTAGCTACTTAATGTCAGTTTGCATGCAGGAGTGACAGACGCTTGTATCTAAGGTGTTTATAAAACGTGCTGTGGTTATAGAGACCATACACTTGGGCGTCTAGTCATATCCTCAGTCAGGTTTCTTAAAAGAGGAAAAGCAACGCGGTTTCAAAGTTCCTATTGTTTAAATGCAGAATTTGGTTCCAGAAAGAGACGTTTGAAAGCCCATTGAGCCCTCCAGTGGTAAAATTATGAAAATGTTATGATAAATACCCTAGCACCCTCGAGAGCTACAACCAGGAGGAAACTGGAACAGTCTTCTCAGATTTACCCACCGTTCTTTAAGGTCCATTTATTTCCACATTTATAGACTTTAATATGAAGTTTAGTTAAATGTGATCCCCCAAGACACGGTAAGTGGCTACAGTCTGTGTGCTTACTTTATAGGAACTATGAGATAAAAACACAAAATTTGAATGATAGACATTTCTAGAAATCTGTAATAAAGACTGAGTCACCATCCAAAGAGTTACAGCTTGGGTTTTAAAATGCTCTATGGCTCTTATTACTTTTTGCCCTTTTCAAGTACAGAGACTTGATGGTACTGATTCAGCCACACAACACCGCTGACACTTTTGGATTCCAGGGCCACGCATGTACAGACAAGCCCTCAGGCAGACGTGCATAATGACCCCGGGTGATCTTAAAGGACCCTGTGAGACCTACCTGTGGCATGGTTGAATCACTTACGTCTGACGCAACTGCGTGAGCCCTTGCGTGCATGCGTGAGTTCCATCATCTGCTTATGACGTAACTACACCACCACCCTATGCGCATGCTCTAGAAAGCCTTTAAAAGCTGGAGCCATCTTTATCTCTCTCTGACTGCACACTGACCTCACCAGGATTGTATTCACCACCACCCCCCCCCATAGACTCCTCAGCGGATTTGTTGTGTGCTCTGCATTCTTTCTCACTCATACCAGGTAATTTCATTGACGGTGCTATCTCACACCTCCACAGACAAGTATAAGGAGGAGAAGGATATGGGGATATGAGGTGATGTGAAGTCGCATTGCCGTGAGTCTCGGATCAGCAGGAGAGACGTTGGGAAGCTCCTTCTGGATTGGTGAACAGATCTCCTTTGGTCTACTGCTTACATTATTGTCCCATTCCCAGGCAAATCACAACACGGAAGTTACAGTGATGCCTCTCACATCTGACACTCCTTTGCCATGCTCAGGCTCAGTGTGGTTTCTCTGATCTCACCCATTCTCATTCCCTGTCCATTCACTTGCCCACCCAAGGTCCTCTGACCTCCTCAAAGCACATCCCTAGCTGTCAGGCCCACTGTTATGGCTCTTCCTGCTCCATGACAGCTCTTTAGAAATCATGTGCCAGATCTTGGGCTTTTGACCCTGGGCTTCAGCTCCTTTCTTTCTCAGAAAGCCTGTTTGTCTACCAAAGGAAAGCTGAAAACTCCTGTGTTCCCCCACACCACTTCCTCAAGGGCACTCTTTCCCCACCCTGTTACTTTATCTACCTGTATCTCCCTAGGTATTCCTCACCACACCTGACATGTGACCCAGCTCTAGCGCAGAGACCACATGCTCCTAGTCCAACTCTCTTGAACTAAATAGCGTAAAGTTCAACATTGCCACAATTCACAAGTCTCTCTTGTCTCTGAGGGTTCACAGTACTTCCTCTACCAGGAAGCTCAGGCAATTTCTTACACCCCCTCCTCCCTTCACATCGAGTCATCACGGTTACTAACCCACAGCATTTGAGTCTACTATTCCAGCAGCTTCTGGGTGCTCTGACCACGTATGTGGTATCCGCACTGCTGCTGCTCAGAGCCCCACTGGATGATGCACGCTGAGCAGCAGCATTTCCCTAAATCTCTTAGAAGAAAGTTCCAGCGCAGTCTCACCATCTGCAGGCCAGCTTCATCTTCTACCCCTCTGCACCATCCAAGGTCTAAACCTCTTCTGTGTTCACCATACTTTTTATATCCATACATTTTTAATTTTTCCTTTTTTATTGTTTTTATTGAACTATAAATTTTTCTCCATTCCCCTCCCTTCCTCCTCTCCCCTTCTACCCTCTCCCTTGACTCCCACAGTCCCAATTCACTCAGGAGATCTTGTCTTTTTCACCTTCTTATGTAGATGCCATACCTTCTTTACTGCTGAAGTTCTTCTAACCTTCCAAAACAAAGGAAACTTGCCTTGAACCCAAAGAGATTCAGATTTGGGGTGGGAAACTGTCAGTTTGACACATCAGTGAGAAGTCCTCTGGATTTGGTTGGCCTGAGGGTATGCCTTGCGGGTTATGTAGATCTCCAGCTGAAAGTGAATGGCACCTTCCCTGGGTTTGAGACCAGAATTAAGCAGTAGAAGAGAAGGCTATTTGAACACTGTATGTGTGCATTTGTTTCTTTCTGCTCTGGTCTGTAGATCTCACCTGCTAAGATATCACCAGCTCCTGCTGTGTTGCACCCACACAGTGGACTAAATCCTAGAACTGAGAGCTGAGTGAAGCTGTTCTCACCTGCATTGATTTTGGTCAATATGTTTTATCACAGCAACAGAAAGACCATGACAAACCCCTTCCTTTAAATGCCCCTAATAGCCCCTGTTCATTCCTGTCTTATTGGATTAAGGTCTAAAGTTCAAATGAAGCCAAACTGTGGCTGAACGTGATTTTGCCATAATAAGGGGGAGTTGTGGACTTATAACTATGAAGCTTAGTCAGCTATGCTAATGTGGAATTGCTGGCCTCTTTCACTTTTAAACTTTACATACTGTCACTGGAATTTTCCTGTGGTGTCAAGCTTCAAGGCCGCACTGCTAAGGTCGGGTTGCGGATGGACTGAGGCTTGGCAGCCCCTCATTTTGCCTCACCCTTGCTTCTGTGCACCTGATGGCTATTGATTATTCCCAAGAGAGGGCATTTCTCACAATAGCTGCTGTTACTGTGCTGTGTACCCTGAGGAGATGCTGCCCTCCATGGTGAGGAACTTTGCAGAGATTATAGATTATTATTTCAGCTGTATTTTTTTACAGTGTACATATTTTTCTTTTCTTTTTTTTTGATTTTTTGAGATGGTTTCTCTGTAGATTTTTTAGCCCACATTTTTCTTATGTAACTTTCATAACTTTATAATCATATGTTTGTCAAAAGCATGTAAACTTCTTCATAAAGTTGATTGCTGAAAATGTCATCCCCAAAATGTGTACTATTTGTCCATTTATCCCTCTTTCACTTAATTTTTTTTTATTTTAACATTCAAGATAAAAACATAAGGATATTTTCATCTCAAATTATACTTTTAATGATTACCTTCACTCACAAGTAACATTCAAGGTCTGGGGTGGAACGCTAGTGTGGCACTTGGCTAGCATAGGAGAGGCCCTGGCTTCAGTGCTGGTCCCATACAAACAGTGAGCACTGAGCCATTCCCTCTGTGTTTCTCATACTTTGCACTATAAGAAGTGTGTTTGTGTAGGCTAGTGACGACACTAATGTAGCGTGCACACACTAATGTAGTGTGACAGAAGCAGCAGTGCTAAGGCAGGGGCCTGAGAGCAGCATAGCAGGCCGTGAGGCCACAGCTCTGGACTGTGATTTTTGGTCTGTCTCCTTTTCCCCCACCACACTTACACTGCGCACCTCTGCAGGCACATCCTTTACACTCAGGGTTTGTATATGATAGTGTTTGATGAACAGTGAATGTTGAGTGAACTTTTAAAAACTCCAGACATGACCTATTTTATAAGACGTTTATTTTTATGAAATCTGATTCCGATTTCATCATGCACTGTGCTGGCTGGAGTTTACTGAATAACGTCCTCCCTTCAGGCCTGCTGTACTACTAATCACTGAACACTCACGCATCCTCCTTTGCTGTCCTAAAACATACACATCATTGTTTTTTACTTTGAGAAAGACCACGTAGAAAATATTGATAGAATATTTTTTATATTGTAAACATAATTAACCATATTTTATATTCTAAATAGACCAGATATTCTTTTTTCTTCTTTAGTAATTTACTTTTATTTTTATTTATTTATTTTGACTTTTTGAGACAGTATTTCTTTGTGTGTCCCTGATTGTCCTGAAACTCATTCTGTAGACCAGACTGGCCTTAAACTCACAGACCTGCCTGCCTCTGCCTCCCAGGAGCTGGTATTAAAGGTGTGTTCCACCACATCCAGCTGAGGTCTTTATTTTTAACTATACATACTTGTCAATTTTAACAAATTCAAAGAAGTTCTATAATGTAGTTTTAAACATTAAAGAAATTATCAAAATAAAATATCCAAAATACAAAAAATTGTTAAAAATCAAGGTGGTTTTATTAAACAGTGAATTACAAATTGTAACATATGGACAGCTTCACAGTCTTACCTGTCTTAGGGTTTCTGTTGCTGTGATGAAACACATGACAAGCATGTTGGGGAGAAAAGGGTTTATTGATTGGGCTTACACTTCAACATAGCAATGCTGTGCTGTTCATCACTGAAGGAAGTCAGGACAGGAACTCAAACAGGGCGGGCAAGATCCCAGAGGCAGGAGCTGATGCAGAGGCCATGGAGGGGAGCAGCTTACTGGCTTGCTTCCCAGGCTTGCTCACTCCACCTTCTTATAAGAGAACACAGGACCAGCACCACCCACCATGGGCTGGACCCTCCCCATTGATTACTAAATGAGGAAATGCTTTACATCTGGATCTCAAGGAGGCATTTACTCAGCTGACTACTCTAGTTTTTGTCAAGCTGACACACAAAACCAGTCAGTACAATACCTCAAATAAGAATTTTAAATGTAACGGCATCACCTGTGAAGCTTCATTAAGTACATGCTACTATAAGCTGCAGCTCCATATACCATCATGAATCACCAGATCTGGCTTTATCAGTAAAGGAAAATTTTAATTAGCCACCTATCTTCTATTTATTATCAGCCCTTAAATTTAATATGCACTATCTCTACAGAAACCATGCCTAAAGAGGAGGCATCGGCCTTGCCATACTGGGAAGAAAGGTCCCCACGTGCAGCGTTAAGAAGTCTGCGGAGGCAGATGACGGTGCAGCTTACTTCCTCATGTCTTGACACTACAACTGAAGGGAGCAACAAAGCACCTTGGTCAAAGTTCTGCCATTCTGACTTCAGACTCCATTTTACCTGTAGGACAAAGTTCAGGTTCCCCAGAGAAACAGCTAATCTGGGCTCATAGGAACTCACTGTCTCTGAACTGATAGCTAGGGAGCCTGCATTGGACACATCTAGGTGCTCTCCATAGGTGACAGTTGTGTAACTTGGTCTATTTGTGGGACTCCTAGCAGCGGGATCAGGGCCTGTCCCTAATGTTTGAGCTGACTTTTTGGAACTTATTTCTCATACTGGGTTACTTCACCCAGTCTTAATACAAGGGGAGGAGCTTAGGCCTACCTCGACTTGATATGCCATGCTTTGTTGACTCCCATGGGAGGTCTGCTCCTTTCTGAACAGAAACAGGAGGAGTGGATAGGGAGAAGGGCAGTAGGGAGGTGGGGGATGGAAATGGAGGAAAGGAGGGAGAGAAAACTGTGGTTGGATATAAAATAAATGAAAAAATTAATAATAAAGTTCAGGTTCCCAAGCCCTAGGGTAGCTGAAACCTTTCCAATGGCTGACCGACCACCTCCGTAAACCATAGACATAGTCATTGTGTCTCTTTAGTTCTCTAGAACATGGTTGTTCTTAACAGAGGGAACAAAGGAGTCTGGTTGGTTGGACTGAAAGGCTTGCATTGTTTGTCAGTTGACGATGATGGAACTTCACACAAAGAATGTCCCTAATTTTTGATTCCTGATTGGTGAAAATTGTAGCTGTAATTTGACAATAAATGTCTGTAATTTTATGCTTATAGACCCCTCTTCTGGCCTTGCTCAGGGCTGTCAGGAGAAACACAGCTTCCAAGTCTTTGTCCTGCAGCCATCAGGACATCCATCAGTGACTGCTTATGTGGTGAATTATTAAAATATTTGAGACCATTAGTGTTTTCTCTCTCTCTCTCTCTCTCTCTCTCTCTCTCTTTCTCTCTCTCTTTCTCTCTCTCTCCCCCTTCCTCCCTCCCTCCTTATGGTGCATAATGGGTATAATGTTGTAACAGTCTGAAGAACACAGGTGGCGGAGTTCTAGGAAGCCAGTGCATCAACATGATGTCTCACAACAGTCCAGAGAACACAGGGTCAGGGACTCCTATGAAGCCACGGGGTCAATGTGATGTCACACAAAAGTCCAAGAAACACAGGTGGGAGGTTCTATGAAGTCACGAGGTTAACGTGATGACACACAACAGTCTGCAGAACACAGGTGGGGGAGTTGTATGAAGTCACAGGGTCAACATGATGTCACACAGTGGTCTGAAGAACACAGGTGGGGGAGTTGTATGAAGCCATGAGTGAAAATGACATCTCACTATAGTCTGCAAAATGCAGGTGGGGGAGTTCTATGAAGCTATGAGGTCAATGTGATGTCACACAACGGTCTGCAGAATGCCGGTGGGGAGCTCTGTGAAGCCACAGACAGCATTCACGTCTTCACACCTATCCTAGGTGTCTCACTGCCCCAGAGTCACACCACTCAAGTCTCTAAGAATAATCCCAAATCAATATTTCAGGGCATCTCAAAAACGACACCATTATCACATCAGACAATAAGCAAGTTCATCACATGTGCACAATTTATCTTGTCAGAACTCCCCTTACAGCACAGAGTCTTTCCAAATATCTGCCATTCTCCTTCAATTTAAATTCTAAAGAAAACTGAAACCCTTGTGGTTTGGGCAGCTGTGAAGCTCCACTTAGACAACAGATTACAATGTGTCTCTACCTCACAGTAGTCAGCCTCACACCTAAATGCTGTGTACAGAAATGAGCCACTGTCTCTACAAAACACAACAGTCTGAAAAGCTAGGAAGTTACATGCTTACTGGAAAAGAAGTCACTTAACCAGTCTCTCACTGAGTGAAAATAGATAGAGAAACTAAAAATACAAACTGGGTGTAAGATGTGAGGAGCACAGACACCTCCATGAATCAAAACACCTACACAAAGGCTGCAAGGAGAGAGACGTGCCCAGAGAAAGCCCAATGAATCTCCATTTCATTCACATTTAAAATACATAAACCTGAGACAAATTTTATCTAAGCAATGAATGGATTCATCTTCAAACCCTAAAAGCTAAGTTTTCCTATTTTTTTATATTATTCTTTTTAAAATTTATTTCCCACATATTTGAGGTGAGGCATTGCTGAAAGGGCAAAGAGAAAAGATGACACACAAGCCCATGCCCTGGGGATTCAGCGAGGACACTGTGAGCACAGTGATCTGTCACGGCAGAAGATGCCGCTGTCCCTGGTCCTCCGGCCTCCGGCTCTCACAGTCCCTCCTCTGAGGTGGTCCTGAACCTTGAGAAAGGGCGATCGATGCGTAGTTAACAAAAATAGTGCAACATTAATGTCACACAAATTTCATGCCTTTGGAAACTGTACTGCTGACAGATTTCAAATATGTACATCACTTCAAAGTCATCATCCATCAAGACAGCACACACGACAGTGTTTCCAGAAACTTCTCCTACCCCCTTTTAATACTCTCTGAAGGCCCAGGCCCTGTCCTAGACTAATCTGCTTTATATTAGCAGTGTTTTAGTTTCGGTTTGTCACCATTTTCTATATGAAGATCATAATTATATACATTTTATGGGGAGGCTCTATGTTTTTCAGTCAGTAAAATGACTTTGACATTCATTCACAGTGGCCATTCCTCTGTACCGCAGAGCGGTGCTCCATTACACTCTGTACTGTAGAGCAGTGCTCCATTACACTCTGTACTGCAGAGCGGTGCTCCATTGTACTCTGTACCGCAAAGCCCTGCTCCATTACACTCTGTACCGCAGAGCGGTGCTCCATTACACTCTGTACCGCAGAGCAGTGCTCCATTATACTCTGTACCACAGAGCAGTGCTCCATTACCCTCTGTACCGCAGAGCAGTGCTCCATTACACTCTGTACCGCAGAGCAGTGCTCCATTGTACTCTGTATCACAGAGCAGTGCTCCATTACACTCTGTAACTCAGAGCAGTGCTCCATTACACTCTGTACCGCAGAGCAGTGCTCCATTACACTCTGTACCGCAGAGCAGTGCTCCATTACACTTTACTTCTCACAGTAGTATCTAGTAACGTATGTTTGATGTTTTCAGCTTTTATTCTATTACAAACAGGAGCAAGATTATAAAACTTACTCCTTGTTGTTGGTTGGTTTTTGACTTTTTGGCTCTTTGCTCTTCTGGGGGACCTTCCACCTTGTTCCCAAATAATCACACATGGAGACTTATTCTTACTTATGAATGCCCATGCTTAGTTTCTTGACAGCTTTTCTGAATTATTTATTTATTTGTGAATAAATAATCAGATAATTTGAATTAATTATCCTGACAACCTTTTGCCTCCTGTCTTTTCCCTTTCTCAGTTTCTGTATATTTTTCTTTACTTCTTGCTGTGTGGCTGGCTCCTGGTGTCCTCTTCGTTTTCTCTCACTTCTAGATTTTTTCCCAACAGATTTCTCTTCCTCTTTATTCTCTCTGCCTGGCAGTCCCACCTAACCTTTCTCTTGCCTTACTATTGGTCCTTCAGCTCTTTATTAGACCAATCAGGCGTTTTAGACAGGCAAAGTAACACAACTTTACAGAGTTAAACAAATGCAACATAAAAGAATGCAACACATCTTTGCATCATTAAACAAATGTTCCACAGTGTAAACAAATGCAGCACATCTTTAACTATTCTTCCACAACAGCCCATCAAGTAAAACATTCTCCTTTGGCTTCTCCTTGTTTTTGTAATTTAGAGACTCTTGTTCTGAAAGTGGCTTTTAAAAGACGGCTAAAACTAGAAAACGCCAGAATCCTAGCTAAGTCTCCAAGACAGGAGCTTTCGCCTCTATACATAAAAATAATTCAGTGATAAAATAAATACCTCTGCCCATAAAATGCCATTTCCACAGGGTTGGGGAAGTGATTTGGTAGTTAAGAGCACCTGCTATTCTTCCAAAGACCTGAGTTTAGCTTCCAGCACCCACATCAAATGGGGCTACAACTCCAGTTCTAGGGTATCTGAACCCACTTTTGGTCTCTGTAGGCACTCACACACATACGTGAATGCAACACACACACACACACACACACACACACACACACACACACACACACATACACACACAAATAAATCTGAAAATGAAGCCATCTCCACATGGAATGTTTTTCATTCCCTGTCAAAATTATAGTTTCTATTAAATTTATCTGAATAAGCAAAAATATAATATAGAAATAGCATGAGGACTTGACCTTTCATTTGTTGTAAGACTGGGAGGAATCTGGCTTAGCTAGGCATTTGTCTCTAATGAAACCCAAGCAAAGTATGGGATCCACTACATCCACAAAATCTCTCATGATAAGGCAGGATGAGCCGACCTGGACAGAGAATAAGGGGAAAACAACTATAGACATGAGGAGTAAGTTGATACTGCTTTTAGCCCAAGGCTTTAAACAACCCACATCTCTGATTCAGAAAGAAGAAATACATACAAAGTGAGTTCAGGACTCAACTCCTGGGGGCAGCATTAGCCAAGGTTGGAAGCCGAAGCGGCTGTGAGAATAAAGGCCAGCACATTCCGGGATCATCTGCAGACCGCCAAGCCAAGGCAGTGTGCCAACCAGAAGAGGGAATTCTGCTGCAAATCAACATAAAGAGAACACAGACATCAAGTCTCCATCCTGAGGTCGAGGGAAAGACTGCAGATGCTTTGTGTAGTAAACCTGCTAAAATAAAGAGTGAAGAATTCTCTTCCCTGCTCTAACTACACGTCTGCTCCAACCTCAGGCTAGCAGAGGTCTGAGCGTGTGCAGGTCGATGGGTCTCCATCCATCTCTCCACGGTCATGCTCTCACTCATAGACACTCCATTCCTGTCTTTCTCTTACATACACATTCTTCATTCTCACATTTTCCCCCTTTATTTTGACAAATAATAAATAGATGAGGAGTCACATCCCTCCCATATACCACACTGTCCACAGGCTAATTTAATTCTGAGGAGTAAGTATTGTGGGAAACATAGTTTGATTCTGTTGATAACTTGTAACTCACCTATTAAATGTCATGGTAATGGCCTACGCAGAATAGGTAAATAAGATCCCTTTACATTCCAAGTTGTTTTGGAAAATAGTTTGTGACCTGGAACTAATGATGCCTGATGCATGTATTCCAGGGAAAGTACTCCTGGCCTAAGTTGCCAGATGAAAATTCACAGCTCATATACAGTAAGTCGAGAAGACCATAAAGGAGCCGGCAGAGCACATGTGAAACCCAGGCATGTGCAAGCACACAGTGTGAGTTTTATTAATTGTGTGGTATGCCAATAACTGCCCTTCGGACAAGCAAAACTTTCTTCCTAAAATATTCTTCTTTACTCATGCACCGGATGACAATTTTATCTGTAAGCATCTAGGGATGGCACCAGAGGAGGAGTGACTGCTTGGTATAGTTGGGAGACTTCGCTCTGGTTACAAGAAGTCGAACAATCCCACGTAACAACATGAAAAAGACCCAGTACACATGTACATGTTGAAATAGTGGAAAATTACCCATGATGCAACCAAGTAATACACTGTAAACACAAGTGTTGTACAAATACCCTTGCTACATTAGTTTTACAGAGTGAACACTCTGCATATACTTTCACTGGGAAAAAGCAAAGTGTTTCTAATGGAGCAACAAACATAAAGGTGATCTCTGCCCCAGTGCAGCATAGCACTAGACCAGAATAAGGGCAAGCACTAAGAAAATGAGTTTGCAAAGCCATGCTAATATGGATGGAAAGACTATTAACTGTTCTGGGAGAGAGAATTTTCATTTTAGCGTGTATGAAAATCGTGATGAGTGCACGTGGGTAGGTGAGAGGTCACTTTACACTTGCTAGCTGAAAAGTT